TCTTTCTTTCCCGACCTCTCATCATTTTCCTAACAGGTCAACCGTTTGAGAAGGGTCTATATTAATTTCCCATACTTTCACAACAATTATATCGGGCTTGTGATGATTAACAACATGTTCAGACTGTCCCCAATCCGGGTCAATTTTAGAGATTGAACGCACAAACATCCCAGTTCATACCAATCATCGTATAGAGCTGAAGATATGGCAAATCATATCTTTGACATATTGTTCCATGTGAGGTCATGGGAATCAATTTAACAACATAATATTTTAGTTCAGAGGTTGTCAAAGCACAGAAGCAGGTTCAGAAATCAAGTGCAGAAGATGCATTTCATGTTTTTCCTTGGTGCACTGTAGTTATCACGAGTTGACAAGTAATCTCGCATCGCTCATTCTGACACTCATTCAAAGTCATCCCCAAAATTATAACAAGGAGGAAACTCAGGTAATATTAACACTGTCAATATAACCAGACTTCCTTCTTTCTGTTTTTCGTGAGCGCTTCCAAGCTTAGAAGAAAAAAAAACATAATTCGTGATGCGTCATCACTGCCCAGAATAAATGTTCGCGTGGTCATGACGATTCGCAATCCCTTACCTAAACCTAAAACCATCTCAGAGACAAGTAGGTGTCATGATTAAGACCGGTGATTGCATTTGATTACCGCTAAAGACGTGGCCTCTGTCATTGCCAGAGGATAGTCTAAACAGGAATATTCTAGACAAGCTCGACTAAGTATAAATCCTTGGTCCGACTAGAAACGACTGGGGAATCCGTATACAACCGTTCAAACCGAATTCATTTCCGATTATGCATGATAAAGCAAGTTAAAGATAAACTTTAGTACTGGTAATGCGATTGCATTGTGAAAGAAAAGGTGTGGAAAGGATCAGAAACAGTTGATCATGTAGCATGTAAATATTGGTGAGCACTGCAAGGTTCTGGAGTCATCAAAATCATAATAAATTTGACCGAGTCTTGGTAAAGTAACAAGCACTCACATAGAAAGCTATATATGGGACAACACACATGGTGTCGGGGCTAGTACTACCTTGATTTCCTTGTATTTCTATGCTCATTACTCAGCCAGTATACATTTTCTTCCAAAATTGTTTGGCACATGTCATTTATTTGTAATCTTGAACATTCAGTGTAAGTTTCGTTTGATTCTGTGAGATTTTTTTTTTTTTTTTTACCAGTACTGGAGTTTATCTTTAATAGGTGATCAAGGGGCCCATAAAGGAAATTCGTATTGATTAGCGATTATCACTTACCTAATTAAAGGGATGGGGTTGAGGAAGACATTCACGTAATAGTGTACGAACATTCATTCGCGTTATACAAAAGATAATTGTAGATGACTCATCTTGTATTCGCTGCGTTATCCTTCAAACCATATCGGGTTATGGAGGTTTATCGTGTCGAAATGGTAGTTAGTATTATGAATTTAATATGCAATGATGCGCCTCAACCAGCCCAAAATGACCAAAGAATGACGGAATGGCATAACTACCCACAAATCTATATTAACGGTGGTTAATTCTTATATATATATATCGTGTCGGAATGGTAGTTAGCATTATGTATTTAGTATCCAATGATGCTTCACCAGCCAAAAATGACCAAAGAATGACGGCATGGTATAACTATTCACCAATCGATATTCACGGTGGTTAATTCTTACCGCGGTTACTCATTTTATCCAACCCTGAAATTATAATGCCCCAAGTCACTTTTACTCAAAATTGATGACATTATTTTGATCAGTCACCAATCCTAGGGCGTGGCTCAAACCCAATACTACGAGCAGGTTATTCTTTCCACATTAGTAAAATTGTGCCTGGATTTTTTTTGTTTTTCGTGTGAAGCTTTTAGAGGGCCTGAAAAGGTTGATATTCAACGCAAGCTGCCCACATTGCTACGCAATACCTGACACACGATGTACGCCCCTTTCAGAATCGCGTAAATAGAAAATGAAATATTAACAATATAGATCTTGTAGATGCGGCACAGCTTCGGGTTGCCACGATAACATATCAACTGAGTATACTCTGAATAATTTAAGCACTCCGGGACTCCAAATTGCTGAAAGGATTTAGATGCTATCGAGGCAGAACAAAATCACCTGTTCCCTAATGCAGGCGTTCTTTACGAACCATCTTCTTTAATTCGACTTCTATTTTGTATACAGGCTTCTGATAACAATTTACACTTTTAGAAAATAGCGCAAATATAAGAAAGATTTCCATTTGATTTGTGACGGATTTGAGTCCATTTGCAAATTTCATGCATACTGGAATTCCCTTTGAAGATGTTATCGCACCGTAATGACATTTAATAACACAGTCATATAGTAGATAAGCAATTCTTTATTACAATATTGGACAATGTTGACGTTGGTCATTAGCGAGCTGACCTCGGTTTTATCAGGAAAGGTAATCGCTGAATATTTATGAATATTAATAGCTCCCATTCTAAACCAGACGGTTAATCTCACCATCGCCACCCCTCCCCTCCCTCCCTTCTACTCCCTCTCTCTCCCTCTTGCTCTCCCTCTTGCTCTCTCCGTATGTCTATCTCTCTATCTCGCTATCTCTTTTTTTCTCTCTCTCTCTGTATATATATTTACCTCTGTCTCTATATATGTTTTACAAAATAATATCAGCTCATTACAAATAGCTCATCTAGACTATTACCTAATTGATCATCACATGAGGCTAATTATCTATGGCATTTCTATGCAATACACATCTTAGTTTACACGATTAATTTGCACATCCATTCCAACATGTTCAATACAAACACTGTCACTGTGTGTTGTGAACATTATTATAAATATCGCATAATTAGCCATTGTCTTGTCGCAAATGTGATGATCATACGGCTTCCTTTTGTTTCTTCTTATTTCCATGTTAAGCCAATGTCAGATACCCCTTTGTCTTTGAAGCATCACCGTGTATGTGTCATCAGTTCTCCTCATTCCCTTTGCTTTCAACGAAAGACGATTGGATAGACCAATTTGCAAATAAATAACCAGGGGAGAAACGTCACATCGTAATGATATCTACAGCAAGGTGGCCACCAAAATGAGTGACTAAGAATGAGTTCAGTCATGTATTATGGATGCATGACCAATACTGCTTCTCGGGAAAACAGACACGTTGAATTGAACTGCACGGAGTGACAATGACAATCGGACATCAATAAACTGATTGCAACCCAATTGATTCCAATATTTACAATTTCTCTCTGCGACCTGCCTTTAATACAACCGTACATGATTAGTAATCATAACAATTAACATGCTTATATAGCTTTAATTTTATAGCAAAATGAATTATTAATAACGGACAAATGCCACAGACATTCCATTCGGGTTAACGCCGGCTTTACAGTTATATCAAGGTATAAAGAGCTGCTAAATTAAGCCCGTTAATCAATCGTATTTTTCAGATGATCTTTATTGTGTATTCATTTTTGTCCACTAAATCGAGATTATCAAATATTATCACCAAATTCACCATCATTTTAGTCGATTCTCTCCGAAAGTTGTACTTGCATCCTATTTAAATTGAGTAGCTGGCTAGCTGCTAATTTTGACTCATTACTTAAATTTCATAGACGATCGTTGGGCCATGTCAGGCTCAGTCGACTTCATTTCTTTCTATAATCGTATATTCATGAAAAATTGAATATTGACACGAACAATTTGTGTGTGTTTTCGACAAAATAGGACCGAGTTTTTAAGTAAAAAAAGACAACAGCAAAGGAGTGGTACTAATCACAGCAGCGGTCATTGGACTTCGAAGAGGACGTGTTTTCTATAAATAGTACATCATCACATGGCCATATGACAATCACGAGACTCTTCGAAGAAAACAAGAAAAGGATTCACACAATCGCCACGCATCATCCACGATTGAGCAATACCACCCCTCAATCAACGTTTCGAGTACTGACTCATCCTATATCACTTTATCTATACGCCAATAACTATCACGACTATACGTTACTCGACCCTTCAACATGACAATGAAACAGAAGCTATAAAATCTAACTTACAACCACATCTTCTTGATCTGACTTGATTCGAGAGCAATACACTCGATATCGCTTTATGCAGAGTTCCATTGTCTCATAACGAGGATACAGACGTAAGTCAGGCATTGATGGTTGAGAATGCAATCATTTATATTTTAGACGTGAATGTTTGGACTGAAACCTTATGCTTACGGATTTCTGCATGTATTCCCGTTTTAATGGCAACTCCAGAAATAGATAGTCCTAATTGCCAATAGAACACCCACGCATTTTCATTGCCATACCAGAATATTTTTAGATACATTTTCCTTGTGTGTCTAGCAGGTCACCTGGCTGGGCACTGACTTGAACTTCGAAGGGATAAACTGAAGTCCTTCACAGACAGGCGAGAGGCGAGATGATTCTTCTTTGGGATTTTTTAATAGCGTCTTGTTTGACTTGCCAAGTGTTTACCTGTTATTATGTCGTAGAATTGGATAGGTGATGGAAAAGAGCCAGCATCACAAAAATGCGGTCATCCTTTTCATAATAAATGTTGGCTCAACACGATTCCGCAGATGACATTTGCATTTTCAAGCATCGCCTCAACGTGTATTAGCTGAACTGAGGTGACTATGCACTACTAATGTTGGTTCGTTAAACATGCATGTTTATACATTGAACAAAAGCCTTCCAGGCGGCTAACATAACAAGTGCATTTAATAGAATGAGGCAAATATCACAGAACGATGGTAAAGAACAGTTTCAACAGGTAAACAAATACCTCCGAAGACAGAGGGGATTAGGTACTTGTAGAATGTGCACGCTAAAACCCCATTGGGTCAAACATAGGATAAATGGTAGACTATTGAGTAGAAAGAGGTAGGGGGAAATGCGACCTTGTTTTGAGGTATAAAACGTATTTGAATTGCTTAACTTCTAAGATGAATCGATGAAAATAAATGAATTAATCTCACCTTTCTTGTGGTAAATCCGCATCACGTGCTGAAATCCCCTATGTTGAATGGTTCGCTCTGTTCGCAGGAGAGAGAGACCAAACTATTTCTTCAACCACCAGAACAGAATTTTCTTGATGCACCTTGCAGACAAATTACCGAGTGCAACAATCGTTCAAAACGGTCAGATTCTTTTCAAATAATTCAATATTCTGAAGGAAGAGACACCTTGACAATGAAGTGAGCTAAATTTGACTGTCCTGTCGATACCTGCTTGTCAAACAGGAGACTTTTCAGCGAGACAAGATTCACGTAATTTGTGACAAATCCGAATAAAAGGGTTTCTTTGCAGACGATGCCTCGAAGAGCAGAGACGAAAAAGCACGTGCGTCTTGCGTATCGCAGCGTATCAATATGAACGCTCAGTTACAAATACCTATTTTTACTACGTCGTCAATGAATGTCGCGCACAGCGAGACTCACAGATGTTTTGACAAACCTCGGAGCACATGGAAGGCTCGGGCTGTCATTGGTCTGTGCGGCGGGCGGAGGCGGGGCTGACAGGTTTACTATTATGCTAATGAGGTCGGCCCAGGTCACCGAGAGCTGTCTCCTGTGGTTGCGCTCGTTCGCAGCAGGAAATAACTATGAATGGAGTTCGGTCTCGAGTTGTAAACATGGGTTCTTCATGATCAATTGACGACCCTATCAACATATTCCAAAGTTCAGAGTCACTCGCTATGTACAGATCTAGATATCAATGCGACTGCCTAGAACTACACAGGAAAAACGGTTCATCGATTTGTACCTTGCGATAGGAAAGACCCTAGGCGATGCTGATATTTAATTTATCAAACTCGCTGATTTTGTTTTCTATTAAGTTCTCCTTTATTTTACCCATGTGTGGGTGTGTGTGCATGGGCGATATGGAACACATTGCCATCGTTAATGAGGGCAATTTCGTGCTTTAGCACTAGTCTATCTTCTTTTCTACTCGCCTACACGCCTAAATAAGTAATACATGTACTTGCAACAACATGTCGTTTTAGAGAGAATAGAACGATTTAAAAATACACACATTCTGGGTAGAAAGGAAACTTTCTCTAGGAAACAAGAAAATGTAGGTTCACATTAATTAACTTAATGAAGGGAAATGGCTTCCTTATTTTTTGAGACATCCGCGAATGCTAATTATTATGACTGGACGTGAAGATAATTTTAGAATCACTCTTGTTATTTATAACTTGGCATCGAGGATATGTGCTCTTCGGAATTGTAAAAAAAAAAATGCATTACAAAACTCTTAGAAATGTCTTCCACAATATTAACGGTGTGTTCTATGTTGCCCACGCATAGATAGATTATTGCAGCGCTATCATAAACAACTGAAATAACCGCGAATATGTGATACCTATGCAAAAGAAGGGCATATGATATAGAACCTTGAGAAAAAAACAAGTATACGGGGGAAGGGGTTTACCGTATACCCATAGCATTTCATTCATTTTTGTTATTATTATTATCATATATTAATATGCTTCTTGAATCATTTATTTCATATTATCAAAATAGACAGTGTTACAAATACTGTCCATCATAATTGTACAAACACATATCACAAACTAGCATGTATGTTTATATATATGCGTACCTCATTGAGATTAACCGGGAGACATGTGAGTACTTCTCTTCAAATATTCTTCTGTTTTGATTAGTTGTAGGGTTTTTTGTTCTTGTGACTTTGAGTCGTTCTTGTAGCGTTATCTTTTCTAAGATAATTATGCACAATGTTCTTGAAGTATTCAAATGTTGACAATTAAACACAGTTTGCTTGGCATACGTACTGTATGTCAATGGAAGAAAAAAGGTGAAATAAACAAACCAAGTACTGTTTGTCTACTTTTGCAGTTGTGCATGCCTTGGGTAATTTTCCAAATACTGCTGGATCATAATACTAACGATGCAAATACGATTAATGTGAAGTATACGCTTTAAAGTGACTCGGTAACATTGCTACAGATTCTGAAACAAAATCCTGGATTACCTCATGCTGCAATCATGATTATAAACCTTTAGGTCAGTCAGGAATCCCATGACTTTTACAAGCCGATCGCCTGTCTGATTATCAAGATATTTATGATTGGAATTCGAAATTTCTTTTTTTCATTTTCCTAACGGTTTTTATAACACTACAGTCTATTGGAAAAAATGAGAATGGTAAACACGGTCCCTCAAAAATGTTTACTTTTTGGAGGCACTTCATGATCATTTTGAAGCGCAATTTGTTTAGGGCTTCAATATTACACCATATCACAGACACTGATAACACGTAGGACCATGCATCTCATAATTTGACATTGTTAAATGTTGCCTTTAACACACGGCTTCTACAAAAACTTGACCAAAAGACCCACTTGGGCAAGATATTGGGTTTTCAGAAATCCGCCAGCTCGTCACCCCCGAAAAAACTGTCATCATGATATCAAGTCCTGGATAAGGGCGAATCGAATATCAAGACATAATACTGGAAGATTGACGTTTATCCGTGCTTTGTTTCAGTTATCCCCTGAACTCAGCTGTGTATTAAAGTTTCCTCCTCTGTTTCTCTGTAAAGTCCACCTAAAACCTATTTTCCAGATCCCTCCTGACCCTTGCCAGAAACGGAAATCGGACAACAAAGGCTAAAGTGACACACATCTCGCGAAAAGAAAATGGAGTCTTTCCAAACCTGACTAACTCTTAAAGGATTTGTATATGGTGTTGACAGTGGACAATAGCCCATGTGTCACCCGATGGCAAATTGACAGCGATCGACCTGAAAATAGGAAATAATCTAGGTGCTCGAGAGGGGCGATCTCTTGCAATCTCTTTGACGCCCTTTTCTTGATTCTTTTAAGTGGCGAAGCGTCAGTCCGGCCACTAGCTAAGAGGGCACTGTTGACATGGGGGCGGCAGTAGTCTTACTGGAATGTATGTATGAGGAGGATGTAGAAGGGAATGAGCTTGTATCGTGTTTTTCACTTTACCTCCCCCTCCTCCCCCTCCTCCCCCTCCTACCTTCCTCTCTCTCTCTCTCTCTCTCTCTCTTCCTCATTCTCTTTCTTTCTCTCTCTCTCTTTCTTTCTCTCGCTCTCTTGATTCAAAATTGGTTGGAAAGGCAAACTCCCCTGATCTAAAACATTTTGTTCCCCCTTTTCTACTGGTTATTCATTATTTCTTCTCTTTAATTTCATCCATTCCACGTTCTTGTACTCTCTTTTAATCTTCTTTCCCATTTCCGTCATTGATTGTGCCTATAATGATAAATGTAATTTGCTAGGAATATAGGCATGGGCCTAATTGATATTATAATAATATGATAATAGTACATTACTTAATAAAACGCATAATATATACCAACATGGTCTCTATCCGTGTTAGAACATGGCTGTATTTAATGTCCCATAAACTTAGATTATACATTTAAGAACAATATGTAGCTCGGGTTTGTACGTAATGACTGTGTGTGCAAGCCTAATTGAACATAAACTTGACAATGTTTGAAAAAATTCATACTTTATTATCCGAAATATATTTTACTAAAATTAACTCATTCAGAAACTTGAGAGGCGATGTTTCAATGCATGATTCACACTTATATGATTATTTAAAGATGTACAAATATATAATGAATCCATATTAGGAAAACAGGTTTATAACATTAATCTGCATTTGTCATGGAGCACACGATTGAGGCAATCATGTGAGGTTTGTATTTGTGCCAAAATTGCCCTCGAACTCTTTCAAAAGGCCCTCTCGATGAGCCACACAAAGCTCGCATTGCCATTGCGTGATCATCGGCCCCAGCTTCTCATTAAACTGATACAACATGAGACAGGGTTAAAAATAGGAAACAATGCGTTATGTCACTTCTTGGGACATGACTGAGTTTTAAATAACCTTCGAATTGCTTCGATGATCTGTGACTCTGATTTTAATATGACAAGTGTCGACTTTTTCTGAAGTTATCAGTCTATGAATTGACAAGTCATGTATAAGCGATCTACTATAACGATGATTTTGTTTATTTTATTTGTAGTGGCCCAGAATTTGTCTAGGGGTATGTACCACTAAACATCATATTTATAATATTATAATAGATCATTTATAAGCAATAAATGTTGCATTTCAGTGGTTGTAATGTTCCATTATGACTGGTAATGTATCCTCCACACGTCGTATAACAAAACAGCAAAGTGCTTATGTACGTGCGCAACACCAGTATAAAGTTTCGTGTTTATGCGATCATAATTTTCAGGGGGTAAAAAAAAAAAAATCAAAATTTTCCAAACAAGAAAAAAGGAAAAATTACAAGGGCATGGTAAAATCATTACCCGTCCAAGAGCAAATCCTTTTGGTGATATATCCGGATTTGCTAACACACATGTAAATCATCTAAAGAAATCTATTGGCACCATATGCGAAAGATTATGACAGTTTTGATAGATGGGAACGCTGGCAGAAGTGAAGGAGTGAGAGAGGGGCTATATAGCGTTTTTAAAGAATGGGTATATTTAGATTTTTGAACAAATGTTGTCTATGAAAGTGTGCGATGCAATGAGTGTGTTTTGGGAGGGGCAAATGAGTAATACTTATTTCGTTTATGAAAAAAATAGTTTAAGAGTAAAATTGATTATACTTTGATGTGCAGTTTATCTTCCTTTCTCGTAGTCTCTCCCTCGCTTTCTCACTCTCACATCATCACACTCTCACATTCTAGTAACCCTAAATTAGCCGTATATTGAGCCAATTTGTGAAATTGTTAAAAGAAGCTAAATTCAACTGATTTTGGTAGGTATAGGTATGGCTATGTGCCAATATTTTGCTTTAAATTCATGCCAACTCGTCCACCGACCTGTAAGACATATGCATAAGAGTGAAACTTCAAGACATAAGCATTGCTGACATGGTAACAGTGTTTAGAAATGCGTAAGTTTTACGACTATCGTTGAATTGCTTCGATGTATATCAGTATATAGGATGAGTCAGACGGTTGCTTATTTCGGAATTGTATGAAGTTGTCATTCTGACAATTCCCGCCAAATGTGTTCATCTCCTCTAAACCCGGAGTATGATCGAAAGGATTAAATTGTTATTTCGTCTAGGCCTCTGCATAATCAGGGCCCATTCGGAGGGGCTTTGGAAAATAACAGATGATCACTTTATTTGCCAGAAAAGTAATTTGTATTGAAATTGGAACCACGTGTCTCGACGCAGACGTCTTGCGACAGCTTGCCTGAGCAGAGGCATCGTGGGTTATCGATATTTGTTTTGTTTTTTTTCCAAATAGGCTCTAGAAAAGCAAAATAAGAAAACATAATTGAACCAAATAAAACATATTTGAATACCACAAAAGTAGTAAACATAGAGGAAACAAACCCCATCTCTCTATGCATGTCTGTTGTTCTGTCTTGCCATATTT